GATATTGGATAATGATGCGGCCTATCATATGTGCCCTAGAAGGGAATGGTTCTCTAGTTTTGTAAAGTTGGATAGTGGTGTGGTGTACATGGGAGACAACCGTGCATGTAAGATCCTTGGAATAGGAAGAATTCGCATCAAGATGTTTGACGAGACTGTTAAAGAGTTATATATGATGTGAGATATGTTCCTTCCTTGATGAAGAACTTGATCTCAATTGGAGCTTTGATTGGAGAGGGTCTGAAGGTTCGTGTTGAGGACATGGTTCTCGAGATCATGGAAGACTCTTTGATTGTGATGAAGGACGTCAGGAGGAATAACCTGTACTATTTGATTCGAGATACAATGACAGGTGGAGAACTAGCGACTTCTATTCATTCGACTAGACTGCGATATTTGGGGCTTAGTTATTCTAGTATTGATTTGGAGATGAGTGCATCGACCTGCAATTTAAAATTCAGTGAACACTTTGATATGAGCAAGAAGATCGAGGTGAAGTTTGGCACCTCTATTAACCGCACGGAGGGTCTTTCGGATGAGGTTCACGTGGATGTTTTGGGGCCTTCCAAAAAGGACTCATTAGGAGGAAATAAATGTTTGGTTTCCTTTGTTGGTGGCTGTTCTAGGCGTGTTTGGGTTGCAACCAAATCCCCTTTGGATAAAATCCTAGTAATCTCCAACAGATTAAAAAAGTGTGAGATTAGCAGAAAGGTGAAGGTACTTCATTTAGGTTTTGGTGGGAGGAACAAGATGGACATGTTTCTATTTTGGAGTCGAGCTCACGGAATTTTGAGACACTTCTTTGGAAAGAAAATCTTGTGGCAACTAGATAGGGTGCAAATTTTGAGAACCATGCCTTGCTAGAGGAGGATCGGTGTTTGTTGTCAAACAATAGTCTGCAGAAGAGTTTCTGGACTGAGGCTTCGACATATTTGAGTCATCCTATTAAAGAGTTGTCAACTGCTGTGATTGAAGGTAAAACTCAATTGGATATTTGGTCTGGTAATATCATATTGGATGAGGCTTCGATGAGGGAGCTTATTGACTCTCAGCAGGTGAAGAGTTTTGGACAGATCATAGAGGTATCACAGCAAGTGGAGAGTGATGCTACTTCACATTGGGTGGAGATTACTCCACATACTCCAGATCATTCTGTGTTGTTTGGGATTCTAGCTGAGGTGACACAGTTTGGGGATCAATTGGTTTTGGATACAGATGATGAGTTGGATTTTGATTCGAGTACAGCTGATAGATGTAGTTTGGATATGGCCATTGGTTTACCTCAGGTGGAGTTGTTTGATTCATTACACTTTGAGGCCATTAGAAGTGCTATCAGCCGTAAAATTGATGATATTAGAGGAGGGTTGTGAACTCTTCTATTGGATTGAGGACCTTTAGAGGCTATTTGAGTGAACTATGTGAGGCTTGATTCCTTGGACAAGAGGATACATATATAGTCATTTATGATACAACTAATTTGGTGAGTTGATACGGACATTTGGAGAGTGTTCACATTCTTATTTGGGTCTCGACTTGTTATGAATTGAGTCCGTTGTTGTGATTTCATTTCACTTCGTACTAGACGCAACAAGTGAGACGTTTGTTTTTAAGTTGATGTCGGCTCACTTTTGGAAAAACTTTACCGAGGTGGAGAATTGTGAACGTGGTCTCGTGGTGGCGTGGGGACCACAAGGTGGCGTGGGGACCACAATGCGTTGTTAACATGTTTTGTTAATGCATTCCGTTAACGCGTTTTCTCCCACGCGTTTTGCTAGCTGGTATGCGTCATCAGACGCGTTTGTTTCGGTAGGGGCCACACCAAGTGATCACGCGAGATTCAGTTGAAGCCTATAAATAAGTTTTTTTAGGGTTTCGGTGGTGCAAGGTTGGGCAGCATGCAAAGAGGGGAGAGCGCAGTAGAAAATGCAGCCGACTTTGAGAGAGGACTTTTGTGCAGTTTTTGTACTGATTTTGAGAGGGTTTGAGCATCCTTTTGAGGGAGATATTTGTGAGAGATTAGAGAGTTATTTTGAGGGTTTAATTTGTGTGATTGTAAACCTATTTATATTCTCTTTCTCTAATAGTAGATCTCCCTCACTCCTTGCCCCGTGGATGTAGGCAACTTGCCGAACCACGTTAAAATTGATTGTTCGTGCCATGATTTGTAATAGATAGTTTAGGTTCCCTCTATTGGTCAGTCCTAGAACTAATAATAGGAAGAGCTGATATCCCACTTTGTTAAGATATTTTGCTTTCGTTTCTTATTTCCTATGTGAAACATGGATTTAGTTGAGATCTACTCTCTTGTCGAGCACCAGAGGTGCTGTAGAAATTTTCGCTGCGCACAACAACTGCAGGTTTTAAAAACATGCACAGCCTGTTGTGTAGATTTTAAAAAATATGCACAGTCTGTTGTGCATGTTTTTTATACTGTGCATGTTTTTTATATACACGATGATACACCTGTGAATCAAACAATACTCGCAAAATTTCAGCCATGAATCAAATAATACTCATGAAAATACACCTGTGAACAACAACCGATCACATATATACTGAATTACAACTATATTCTTAAAATTTAGCCATGAATCAAACACGAATCAAACAATACTCACGAAAATTACATATATGAACTTAATCCTCCACAAAAATATTTTTAAAAAAAATCATAAAAATAACAAATTTCAACAAAATAAAATCACATACAACCCAAAATTCCTCCTCTCCTTCCTCTCCCTCTCTTCCCCCTTCCCCTCGTTCTTCGCCCCCTTCCTCTTATATGTGATATTTAGATCTGATTTGTGATATTTGGGTGTTGTATGTGATATTTGGCATACAACACCCAAATATCACAAATCTCACATGTTCGCGGGAAAAATTGTCTTCATTGATTTCATTATTTTCTTGAGCAACAGTTTATCAGTTACAAAAGATCCGGTCTTTTTATAAGATCCGGTTACAACAAAATCAACAAAAAATAAATCTTAAAAGATTACAACTTTCCTTTTTTGTGGAACAAATCGCAAGATCCTGTTTTGCGGTCTCTTGCTTGTGTGGGTTCTTTGCCTGCGTCGGGGTTAATCCGTGGACCACCGCGTAATCTTGATCCGATCGGATCTACACGATATGACGGGTGTTATTTCACAAAGGAAATAACAATTGAGGGGATTATTTCACCAAGAAAATAATAGCCCTTAAGTAATTGAAATCGACCAAGCGAAACCGATACTCTTCTCGGGATCAAAAACCAAGTTTTGATCCGGAGGACGATCGTGTAGATCTCAGATCTGATCTCTCTCGAACTCCTGCCTTATTTGGCATGGATGATCGCCGAGAACCAGATCTGAAAAGCCCGAGTCTCCAAGATTCCAAAGCTCCAACCTTTTTTAGTTTCGAGCCTTTAATCCGGCAGAGTTTTCCCTCCGAAATTCTCCTAAAAGTCTCACCTTTAGCCTTCAAGATCTCAAAAAGTCCAACCCTCACAAATGAGCCCCCCTAGCCTATTTATAGGCACTCAAACCTATGCCTTGGCACAGGTGGCCGGCCTCCTTGGTGGCTCGGCCACCGAGGTTTTGGCCGAGTCCTCTAGGTGTTTGGTTTTGCACCCGTTGTGTCCGTTGTCCGATTTAGCGGTTCGTCGTTGTGTCTGTTTTCCGGTTCTGCGCTTCGTTGTTGATCTGGACTCTGATTTGGCAGTCCGGATCCTGATATGGTAGTAAATCCGCTTCGGTGTTTGAGTTCGAATCCGTTCTACAGTTGGATGACTCGTTGATTCACCGAACCGTTAGCTTGATTCCGCATGCGAGTCGATGTATTCCATTGTTTGCGTACGGTTCGTTAGCCTCGTCGCCTCGTTGATCCGCTTCGTCGCGTGTCACTAGGCTTCGATGTTGTGGTCTAACGATCATGCTTGGATATATCGCCCGATGGTTCGTTGGTTTGTTGAATCACCGTGTCGAGCTGTGTTAAGGGACCTATAAGCAATTTTATACGCCTACAGTCACGTGTACATTTGCCCAAATGTTCGTGACCTGTCCTCACGGCCTGCAAACTCGTCGACATGAGTCTTATGAAACACGCTTGCTATTCTTTGTTTGATCTTGGATAAGAGCCTTACGGTCGTCGGATCCTAGATGTCACTGATGTGCTCATCTATATCAGCTTCAATGTCATCGAAAGCTTTGATCTGCGAGTTAATAAATATATACACAATTTAGCAAATAATATCTTAATAAAAAATTATCATTTTAATTTAGCTTAGAAACTTACATAATCTCTCTTGAGCATGGAACTATAGATGTAACTATCTGTCGATGGGCGTAGCAAGTATCCAGCTGATGGCTGTGGTCGTGTGTGATCTATCTACGTGTGATATCACAATACCAACGCATATACATGGTATAATTAACAGATGTATCTCTCTCATATTGTATGAAATCTCACCTATTAATCCACTTATCTATGTAGGCTGCACGTAATACACCATGGTCCATACAACGCGATGTAGGTCATCATCTACGATCGATTTACTCGATAGGATTCGGCACATGCTGAGAGTGTAGAAATTATCGTAACACACAGTCGGGGACATGCATCTGCACAATCTCCCAACATATCAATGGAACTCTGGCTCTCTATAAAGTAGTGCTATCTCGACAGATAGGTACAAGAGTATGCATATCGAGCACTGGCAGTGAATAGGGGCTCTACTTGAACTGAAATAAGATAAAACCTTTAATATTAGAATATTACATATTACAACAAGCGAATGTCACTTCTGAACAAGGATTAATATTAGAATGTTACATATTACAAATATGAATGTCACATGGGAACTAACATTAAATTTAGAAATCAACGCCTAATCCTAGCTGGACATATGCTTTTGTTGTGGCCCGGTTGATCGCATCTACTACACTTATTTTTCCATTGTGGAGTTATCAATCCATTCTTCTCCATGAAGTTCATCGGGCGGTGGATCCTCTAACATGACATACTCATTATTAGTATAATATCCATCAATATAATGGTTGTCCCCTTCATCACGATCTATAAAACACGTCATGTTATTAATTTGTAAGCCATCCTCTTCATCATCATCCTCAGATTCGACACTTGCATTATCATCTTGATGATTCATGCTAGTATCGAAGGCATTTGAAGTGCCCAGGTGCGAATGACCGCTTAAATATTGTGACTGTATCCAGCCTTCATCTTGTTGCGGAGATAAAAAGCCAACATAGTCAACTTCAAGGTCCTCCAACATGCGGGAGTATATTCCATCGTGATTCACCGATTTGCCCAAATTTCTCTAATGTTTTTCAATAAATAATTCCACCGAATGTTTCTCGTCATGTAATACTTCAATGAGACTCATGTCATAGTCACTTGAGATTTAAATGCTGCTTATCCTGTTCTCAATAATAGGATAATTGCAAATAATATTGAGGTGATACTCACGTGAGTTGGTTAATGTAAGTTTGTGTAAGTCATTAACCAATTCATTGAAAGTACGTGATTTTGATATATAAACAACGGCTTCGTCACACATCCTTCATAAACAGACATATTATTTAAGATAGTTAATCTTTATATCACATAAACAAAGAATTACAATTCGATCATTCATCGTTACCTCTGAATAGTAAAAATATCAATATCAATATTACACGAAAAACTTAAAAAAATATTACTTATCATTAAATCTCTTATATCGATTTTAGAAACCCATAATTTTAACCAAATGTCAAACCTTTGTAGTAACACTAACGTTTGTATTTTCTGATAATTTCCCCTCTAAATACACAAAATTATTTTATTTTTCTTCACAAAATTCATAAATAATTTATAAATTATTTCTAAATCTAATTTTTTTACAAGTAATCACCATGAAATAGTGAGAATATACTAAAAATTAGGAGAATTTTTTTTAAAAGATTTTACCTTAAAATTGTCGATGCTCTAATTTCAGGTGAACTCCGGCGATGACGGCGGTGGTGATGTCCGGTATGGGCCGGTGGTAGGGCAAGCGTCGACAAC